ACAATAATACTTGCTTCACAGATTGTTTGAGGATTTACTGTGAGACCGTGAAGTCCTTGGCACGTAGTAATTGTTCAACACATGCTGGCCTCTCCCCTTGCCTTTGCTGATTTTCTTGAATAGGGCAATCAGAGGCTGGTTGTCATGAGGTAGACAAGGAAGAAATCAAGGTTTACGGAAGCCAAGTGACTTCTCAAACCATCAGAGGAAGCCCAGGATTAGAACTCAAAACGTCTGCATTTCCGTCTGTTCCTGAGAGCTTATGTACTTGGCTCAGAGTCTGGAGGCTGACCTGTGTACCCAGAGATGGAAAAGGACCTGGGACTTCCTAGGGGCAAAGCCTCCTAAGTCATCCTGCAGCAGCAACAGGAAAATAAAATCAGAAAACCCCCAAGCTTTAAGGAGGCTCAAGGTTTTAGACCCAGTTGTACATCGTATATGTCTACTTTGGAGCTATTGAGTCCTTTCAGACTTTCTTCACCCATCAGAGGTCCGTTTACCAGCTAAGGCTCTTGAGTATGAATAGGGTTACTTCATTTCCTAGGCATCCCAGAGGCAAGATGTGAAGAACGGAGACTTTGTAGTGGGAGGCAGTATAGCTTAGCAGTTAGAAGTGTAGGCTCTGGAGCCAGACCACCTGCATTTGAACTCCACCTATGCTACTTACTAGCCAAATGACCTTGGGCAAGTTACTTTTATGGAGTATATATCGCTGTATGTGAAACTACCCCAAAACTTAATGGCTTTAAAAAAAATGGCTATTTTTTAATCTCTCATGATTCTGTGGGCTGACTGAGCTCAGCTGGGTGGTTCTTCTGCATCATGTGGTATCGATCAGGGCTTGACTCAGCTGGACATCCAAGATAGCGCTCTCATTTATCTGGCAGTTGGTGCTGGCAGCCCACTGGGACCTCAGATGGGATTATTGATCAGAATACCTCGTATGGCTTCTCCACCTGGAGAAAGCCTGAGCACCTGAAGTCACTGAGGCTGAGTGAGAGGCTGCTGAGTAGACTGAGATTTGGTTTGGGCTCCTGACATCTTTACTTCCTCTGTGTTTATTCACAGTGATCTCTCTTGTCCTTGTCCATGAAATCGGGAGCACACCTCTGCCCACCCACTGTGGAAGAGCTTTGTGGAGTGGGCAGCCTTTGATGATACTGGTGGTGGTGGTGTCATTCTTACACACCCCTCAGGACTAGAAGTGAGGGCAGCTGCAACGATAAAAGGGTTCCCTGTTCATCTTCAGTGCCCCCTTACCCGGACCCTTATTGTGCTAATGGGAGGAGGCGTAATTTTTTTTCTATGGCTCTGGCAAATTGGCTGATTTTCTTTTTCTCTCCCTCTTCTGTCTTTCCTTTTTATTTAAATAAATATTTATTCAGCACATAATGGATACTTTTCATTCTTTTTGGCGGAACCTCTAGTGTCTTCCCAGGTTTGAGGACTTGCCAGTCAAAGTGGCAGGGTGGACCTGTGTCAGAGTTCCACATGGCACTGGGGTCAGAGTTTCATGACTAGGGAGAAAGCTGTTGTCCTGGCCTGTACCTGCTCCCCACCTCCCTCAACCCAGGAAATCCTGAGTCAGGGGAGATGATGGAAACTTCTTTGCTGATGCAGCCCAGAAGTGGATTCCCCGTTGGTCTCATCTACCATTTCACATCCTTGTGTGTACAGCACCAAGGGTGTTTGCTCCGGCGTGATTCAGGAATCCTGGCTGCTCTGTTGCTCTAGTAATAGGATCCGCCTTTCCTTGCACCTGAAGACTGCCACGTGAGTGCCCAGACCACAGGCATAGGGTGAGCTGCCTTCTCTGCAGGGTCAGGGAGAGGCGAATGGAGATAGCCATGTTGCTGATGGCTGCTTTGTGCCCCATATCGAGGGTAAACTAAAGAGAAGCCTGCATCCCAGGGATGTGTTCTCCAAGATTCCCCAGACTTCAGGAGGTCACAGGGGATGTTTGTGGCCAGTATCAGTAAAAAGTTGATTTTTCTTACAAAATAATCTCTTCTCCACACTCTTTATTGCCAGAATATAAAATAAAATCAGCTCTCTAAAGGGCTGCTGTCAAGTCTAGCTAATATCTGGCTGCAGTCTTGAAAAACAGTGAGAAAATACAAAATTTGATGTTGAATAAGCTCGGCCTTTAATTATTATCATGCATTTGCTACAGTGCCTGGCCTTGTTATCAAGTTATGTTCCACGGAGGTTAGAAAGTTCCCAAATTCTTTTTCCAAGCAGCCTCCCTGGTACTCATGTAGGCACACAAAATCTCCTGGTTTACTGATCCCAATAATGCCACGTAATTAGAAGAAAAGCCTCTAAGTCAGAAGGATTGAACAACTCCTGGGTACACATATCCACTATTCAAAATGTTCCCTGAAAATCACCACCCCTGAAGGGAAACTTTTACCTACACAAAAGATACCTTGTTCCAGAATTAGTCATTTTTGAAGAAGCCCTTTGTTTTCTATAATTGTAGATTAATGTCTGTCCATAAAAAATCTGCCTTGTGTTTAACCTTGGTCCTTTTGGTTGCCTTCTGCCTGTGCTCTGTGGGGTAGATACAGCAAGACGCTCTTGTGATTGAGTTTCCTGGGTGCAAACTCTGTTCACTTCCATTTGGAAATGAGGCTGCATTTAAAGGCGGTGGCGATTGTGTGTAGCAGTGGAGCTGGTGTCCTGATGGCCTGTGAGTCCCCCTCCAGCCTGCTCACTTGATCCCCATAGCATGTCCAGAAGAGCCTTTCCCAGCCTCAGTGCTGAGGGGGAAACCCAGAGAAGAGGAGTGAACTGCTGGCGTCCTGGCCATTTTTTTTCTTTTTTTTTTTTTCTGAGACGGAGTCTCACTCTGTCGCCCAGGCTGGAGTGCAGTGGCCGGATCTCAGCTCACTGCAAGCTCCGCCTCCCCAGTTTACGCCATTCTCCTGCCTCAGCCTCCCAAGTAGCTGGGACTACAGGCGCCTGCCACCTCGCCTGGCTAGTTTTTTGTATTTTTTTTTTTTTTAGTAGAGACGGGGTTTCACCGTGTTAGCCAGGATGGTCTCGATCTGACCTCGTGATCTGCCCGTCTCGGCCTCCCAAAGTGCTGGAATTACAGGCTTGAGCCACTGCGCCTGGTGTCCTGGCCATTTCTACTGGGCTCCACATGGATGTAAAAGGGGAGAATGGGTGTTGTCTAGAAGGTGACATGGCTTTAGAACCCTTCCTTTGCCCTTTTCCGTCCCTGATGCATAACTTTTTGGAAGGCACTGTCTCTGCCACCTTGCTTTCTGGATTTGAGTGACACGCATGGAGTGGGATGAGGTGGAAAGGGTATATGATTACTTAATAATGTGATATGCACTTAAATTAATACATATCTGCTTATGATTATGCAGTTAATATGTCTTCATTGTAGAAGGTACGGAAAAGCTCAAAATAGAAAATACAAATTCTCTTAATTTTTTTTTTTTTTTGAAACAGGGTCATGCTCTGTCACCTAGGTTAGGGTGCAGTGGTGTGATCATAGGTCACTGCAGCCTTGAACTGCGGGACTCAAGTGATGCTCCCACGTCAGCCTCTGGAGTAGGTGGGACTACAGGCTTGTGCCACCATGCCTGGCTAATTTTTTTTCCATTATTTTTAGGAGAGACACGGTCTTGCTGTGTTGCCCAGGCTCGTCTTGAACTCCTGGGCTCAAGCGATCTGCCCACCTCGGCCTCCCAAAATGTTGGAGTTACAGGCATGAGCCACTTCACCCAGCCTCCACTGTTGATTGAAGGAGAGCCTTCTAATGTGTCCTAACCTTCAGTTTCCTCATTTCTTCTTGAAGCCTTCAAGACTACTTCAATCTTACTTTCTTTTTTCACCTTTTAGCTGACTTTTCCTATTTGCTGAGGGTTTATAGCAGAAAAGCTTTGAAGTTGGACAGATCCATTTCCTAAATGTGTGACCTTGGGCAAGTTTTACAGCCTCCCTGAGCCTCGGTTTCCTCATCTGTAAAGTGGGGAGAATAATAGCTGTCCTCAAGTTCACTGTGAAGCTTGCTGGGGGTTGTGGGTAGTGTGGGAACCCCGAGAGGTGAAAGGTGTGAAGTTAGTGTCCTCTTTTTTCCCTTCACTACCCCTCACCCTTCTCTGTTCCACTTGGTTTCTCTTAGTCTTGATCCTCCTTCTTAAAATTCTAGCCAGTTTAATTTCTAGCAGATCAAAAAAAGAAGCTCACTCCATGGGTATGAGAAAAATATCAACATTTATTGAACGTCTACCACTACTGGGTATTTTGCTGTCTGCTTTACATAATAATTGCAATTCTTGTGACAACTGTGAGAATCAGTTTCCTATTTGAGGGGGAGCTGAGGGTGGGTGGCTTACTGGGGGTCACGTGTACCTGTGAATGCCTGCCTGCCCTCACCCCCACCTCCACAGTGTGTGGTAAGGACCCCTAAGCGGTACTGCTGGTAGGCTCCACCATGCCACACAGTTTAGTTTCTCTCCTCTAGTCATCATCTCATGTGGCCCTTCTAAGTCAGAAGGAGAAGCCGTATTCTGCTGCCTCAAATTGCTCATACATTACGAGGGGAAAGGATGGAGCCGTTGTGGATGTGACTTTGGCCTTTTGTGTTTACCTACTGGGTGTGTCTGTGTGATGTTCATCATGGTGACAATGGATGTTTTTTGCATTGCACCTTGATAACTTGCATCTCAGATCGTAATTAGGCCTTTACCGCTCCAAAATTACATGCTCTTAGATGCCTGTGATTATCTCAATAGAATTAACAGTCCCTTGTCCCTAAAGATAATTGAGATCTCTCATGGTGGCATATTTTTATTGCTGCAACATCCTCTCCAACCATCCCTCCACGCAGTCTCTTACCAATTTCCAGTGACTGCTTTTTCACTTCATTCTGAACAGGAAATATTCAGGGATCTCTGAGAGGCAGAATTCGTCTGTGATTATGCAAACCGTGGTAACCATTGTGCATTTTCTCTCCCCTCTCCCCCTTCTCCCGATGGTAGGTGCCTGGAGATTTGAGTCAAACCTCCGAAGACCAGAGTTTGTCGGATTTTGAAATGTAAGTCCGCAGCCTGTGCTTACAAGGGATCCTTTGGAAACTGGACTCTGTTGTTGGCTTCTGTCCCAGAAGACCACAGAGGGAAACAGAAATGACTGTTCAGACCCACACCAGGTTGCTGTGGTTCTTGTAGAGCTAGTAGCAGTCATTCTCCTACGGCCTCAGTCTGGCCCTCAGATGTGTTTTATCTCCCCCTTGGGTATTTAAAAACTTTTTTTTTTTTTTCCTTGGCCGACATTTAGAAGTTGGAAGCTATCACATAAAACTACAAATTTCCTTTATTTTCTTTAAAAATTAGACGTTTGTCCCTGTGAGGCCACAGTCTGCTGGAGCTGAGTAAAAGCTAGCCCCTTTGCACAGGGCATGTGCTGTCCAATTGACCACAGTCCCCGCTCTTTGCTATTGCCTGGAAGTGACCGACTTCACTCGTTGTATTATCTGTGTGGCCCTTGGGTTATTGGAAACAACAGTAGTCAGTGCCTTGGTTGGATTTTTGATTGGATTAGATTCGATTTGGTGCCTTTGCTGAGCACCGCTAGGGAGAGGTTAGTTGGTCTCAGACTATTTTTTTTTTGAGACGTAATCTCTCTCTGTCGCCCAGGCTGGAGTGCAGTGGCACGATCTCAGTTCATTGCACCCTCCGCCCACCAGGTTCAAGTGATTCTGCTGCCTCAGCCTTCCAAGTAGCTGGGATTATAGGCACACACCAGCACACCTGGCTAATTTTTGTATTTTTTTACTAGAGATGGAGTTTCACCCTGTTGACCAACCTTGTCTCAAACTCCTGACCTTAGGTGATCCACCCACCTCAGCGTCCCAAAGTGCTAGGATTACAGGCAGGAACCACTGCACCCAGCCCTGATTTTTGTTCAGGATTTCTTGGGCTTTGGACAAATAGATCCTTTAGGCTGGTAAAGGAAATGGGATAAGTTCTCTCCTCTCTCATTCAGCTCTGGTGAGTTTAAGGTTCAGCACCCCTTGGGAAGAAAAGCCCCTTCTCGAGCAGGCAGGGCTGGGCCTTGGAAAGAGCATTTCTTCAGAACCAGACTGGCCTGCATTGAAATCTCAGGCATCAGTCCAGCCATTTGACCTCACTGGGCATCACTTTCCTAATCTGTGAGGTGAAGGTCCTGATGTGAACCTTGCAGGGCTTGTGGTAGCAGTAAGAGTGAGATTATGAAAGGCATGAGGGCATCACAGGGCTACTTGTGTTGGGGCAACTACTGAGGTCGGGGGTGGAGGTGGCCGTTAGGCTGATAAGGTGGAGAGGCTGAGGTTGGGTGAGAGGTGACGAATGAAAATCAAAGGTGAATTTGCCTGCTGTGGGCTTGTGGCAGGGGGAGCACAGCGTGAAGAGGCTCCTGGAATGGCAGTCCTGTGGAGGACAGCGGTGGAAAGAAACTGGGAAGACAGGAGAGAGCCACAGAGAGGAGTCCCAGACACGAGGCTGGAAGCACTCATTATTAAAGCAAGAATTCACCCAGGTCCTGCTGCAGGCGGGTGTCCAGGCAGGTCCCCGATAGAGGGGATCAGTTAACCATGGTCCCTGCCCTCAAGTGGTCTCTGCCTGATCCAGGCCACATTGTCTCTCCCCAGAGATTTGGAACCTCCCCCAACCAGTTTACTGATCTACACTAAAGCCAGAGGGAGCAATGGCACCATTCCCCTCTCATCATGGAGACCGAAATGCTTCGTGGAGCTTGCAAGGAAGGCCCTCACTCATCTCTGGCTTCGTCCCCAGCCTTTGCCACTCCTCTCCCTGCATCAGCCACTCTGGCAGTTCCAGTCCTCTAACCCACTTGGTCTTCTCCCTTTAGGGTTATTATTTTACCCACTTAAACCGCTTGTACACAGCATCGCCTCTGGGCTGGACACTGTTCTAACCCACTCAGTCCCTACAACAACCTTCAGAGATGGGTATCACCTCACAGATGATGAAATTGAGCTGGGATTCAAACCCAGGCAGTGCTGGTGTAGACTCAGTGCTCTTCACAAATGTTCATTCTCCTGCCTGGAACACCTTTCTTATCCTTAACCTCCCTTCCCCAACTTGGCTAACTCTAAATATCCCTTAAAGCCTGGCCCAAACATTGCTTCTTCAAAGAAGCCTTCTCTGGTGTCCCAGACCAAAGCAGGCCCTGGAAGTCACCCTCCTTAGATCCAGTGTTCCTTGGTGGCACTTAAAATAATAGTAAATAATTTATCTGTAACAGCTGTTGGCATATCTACACCTGACAACAAAGCTTCAGAACATATGATGTAAAAAATCAACAGAAATGAAAGGAGAAACAAACAGCTCTACAATAAGAGTTGACCTCAGTACCCCACTTTTAGTAATGGATAGGATAACTAGATAGGAGATCAGTAAGGGGTAGAAGAATTGAACAACATGAGAAACCAATTAGATATAACAGGCTTATGTAGAACATTCCCCAAACAGTAGAATGCACATTCTTCTCAAGTGCACATAACTTTCCAGGAAAGACCATATGTTAGGCCACAAAACCAGTCTCAATAAATTTTTAAAAATTGAAATTATCCAAAGTATCTTCCTTGACCACAAAAGAGTAAATTTTTTTTTTTTTTTGAGATGGAATGTCACTCTGTCGCCCAGGCTGGAGTGCAGTTGTGTGATCTCGGCTCGCTGCAACCTCCGCCTCCAGGTTCAAGTGATTCTCCTGCCTCAGCCTTACAAGTAGCTGGGACTACAGGCACGTGCCACCATACCCAGCTAATTTTTGTATTTTTAGTAGAGATAGGGTTTCACCATCTTGACCAGGCTGGTCTTGAACTGCTGACCTCAGATGATCTGCCTGCCTCAGCCTCCCAAAGTGCTGTGATGACAGGTGTAAGCCCCTGTACCCAGCCCACAACAGAGTAACTTTTATGGAGATTTGTCAGTCTCCCATGTTAAAATTGAATGCTCCATGAAGAAAGGGCTATGTCTGCTTCTTTCATTGCTCTATCTCCAGTACCCAGAGTAACTTCTCAATAAATACTTGTTTAATGAGTGAGTGAAGGAACAAAAGGATGAACAAATGAACTAACACCTAGGAGGGAGATGGTCACGTTAACAATCAATTCTGATACAGTGTGGTCAATGCACTGAAAGAGAGAACCATCTAACCCAGACTGGGGTATCCTCGCTCTAACCCTGGGAGGTCGTCCAGTCCTCACCAATCCAGAAAAGTTAATAAAAACCAGAGTGCTAGTTATATTTCTGCCTTTGTAGCCTGACACAGAAATGAAAGGAGAATGTTCTAGGCACTAGTACAGTTTCAGGGACCTTTCCAGGAGGAAAGTGATTAGATACACAAACCAGTTTTGATGGCTCAGAATTGCAAGGTGCGAATTGCATTGAGCCCTGGGGAAGTGGTCAATGGGGTTTAATTTACCCCTCAAAGGAGGTCAGCTTCTCAGCTCAGAGATGAGGAGAAATGCTGTTTCAGCAGAGACCCATTACCTGAAGGGTTATTTTCATTGTGAAAATGAAATGGTCTTTACTCTAGAGGTTGTGAGAACATTGAGTCGCGGAATCTTCCATCACCGGTGTCTCAAATTGTGTTCCAAACCCAGAAGGCTGGCGAGTTTTTATGAGCTGCTCTTTAGAGAGAAGGAGAGCTCAGGAGAAAGCATTTAGCCCTGGAACAGCTCTAATTAGAGGCGAAGGCTGGGACCTTACAGCCCTTCCAGAATGGTGCAGTGCCGTTTTGATAATTACTACAATTGATCTTGAAGTTTCAGGGACAGTCAGCTTATTAACTCTGTGTAATTTGGATCCAGCCAGGTACAAATGTGATAGTGACTTACAAGTTAAGTTTAAAGTCATCACATAAGACAAAACAATCACAAAACCAAAGTGTCTCTTAAACATGCCTCAAATAGCCCATGTGAGGTGAGAAATAAATGATTTTACTCTAAGTAAAAGCATGGAACCGTTCATGGCAGGTACTCAGTAAATTATTTTGCATTTGACTTTAAACCTCGGTGTACTGGACCTATATACACAGTGTTTTTGGAAAAGTTGAAAGAGAGGTATTTGTACCCATCAGCCTGGTTTTCTAACTTGTCATTTTCTCTCGTTCCTCCCTCCTTCCATCCTAAACAGCTGTCACCCTTGTTGCCATGAGTGTTGGTCTCCTGAGCTCATTTGTGGAGTCTGATCTTAAAATGGGCTCAGGGTCTAAAGTCAGCTCAGTAAGGAGGCAGCGTGACTGCTGGGTACTCCAGAAACGCTGAGCATTGCTGTGTGTGACCTCCTGTGATCGCGTCCTTGGGGCTTCCAGTTATTATCCTCATTTTCAGATGTGGAGACTGAGGTTTAGATACATTATGGGCCAGATCACTCCGTAAGAACTGAAGGGAGATCTTTCTCATTCCAGAGTACAGGGGGTGTGTGTGTGTGTGTGTGTGTGTGTGTGTATGTGTGTGTGTATATATGGAGAGGGAGAGACAGAGGCTCAGTGATAAGACTTAAACTTGTCCTTTAGCTTGCCATCAGGTGTGATGTTAAGTTGTCATAAATTGCTTGTGCATAATACCTCGTAGAGGAGAAAATTGTCTCCTTGCCTCTTTTTTATTTGTTATTGTTTTGTAAGTTAAAATGTCCAATGTTGCTCTCTCTCTCTTTTGGTTATAGATCAAACCGGGCGCTGATCAATGTCTGGATCCCCTCCGTGTTTCTCCGGGGCAAGGCAGCAAATGCATTCCACGTGTATCAGGTGAGTGCCTGGTTTTCAGGTGGACATCACAGCCGGGTGGAAAGACGCCCATTTGTCATGCTGTAGTGCTTTGCCTCTTGGTGGTGGGACAGTATGATTAGGAAGCCATGGCCCTCCATACACCCACATCGTAACTGCCCGGAGGCCTTATGTAAGAAGTCTGTGGCTTTCTGTGGGCAGGAGGATACAGTGGGCCTCTTCGTGCCAGTCAGGCTCGTAGTATGGCTGCTGTGGAATCTCAGCTCGGACTGCATGAGCAGAAACGGAGATGTGTTGGCTTGTATTGCATCTGAAAAGTCCAGTGGTAGGTCGGGCCTTGGGCGTGGCTGGACCTGCCACCAGGAACCTGCTGTCGTCTCCTGTATCTGCTGCTTGGTGACCCTCTCAGGCCAGCTGTCTGTGGATTGACAGGATGACCCCAGCAGCGCCAGGTTCTCAGCCCGTCTGGATGGGCGGGTCTCACTGGTCTGTCCTGGATCTTGAGCCTCTTCCTACACCTTGAGGTTGGGTGATGGACTCTGTGACTGGCCTGGGTCGGTTCGTGTGACCACCACTGGCCCCAGGGTGGACGTTTACCTCACCAGACCACATGTCTGAGAGTGGAGGGAGGACATTCCCCAAATGAGAGCCAGAGAATTCTTTCCAAAAGAAGGGGCAACCGACGCTTGACAAGCAGGACCTGTGGACGTCACCTCTGCTTTCTTGGGGTTAGTGATAGCCGCACCCAGGTGGGCATTGAGTATCTGCGGCAGCGAGATGTGTGTCTGTTGAGGAGGTGATTTTACCCAATCAAGGGGACTCCGGTTCTCCATCTCCTCTCTGACTTTCCGAAGCTTCTTTTAGCCCTGCCCACATGTCATCTGCATGTCTGTCTTCCTTCTCCTCTATGTTACCACGAACTCTGATTTCCAGGCTTTTGTGCACCCTTGTTCTGGGACTGCTTTGTTCTCGGTGCTGAGCCCCAGCTGTTTCCTGCTTCTCCTGTCTGCTTGTGCTAAAATAATTGTCTTTAGGTTTTGTTTTATTCCCTATGAGCTCTCTGCAAAGCCTTGGATTTTGTTACCATTTTTCTTAGTGAGAAATTGACTTATTGAAGAAATTTTCTTGGCTATTAAGATATTTTTTCCCCAAAGAGTGGGGTGTTGAAGAAAGAACACTGAACTTGAAAGCAGAATCCCTGGTTTAAATCCTAAGACCTTAGATGAGTCTTAGTTTCTTCAGCTGTAAAATGGAGACAGTAATCTATCTTGTAAAACTGTTTGGAGATTAGAAATACCTGGCGTGCAGTAAACACTCTATTCATTTCTCCCTTCCCAAATGACCGCTGGGGTTGGTCTCGGGTCTAAGCATAGTATGCACATCTTACTGGAAATCTTAGGGACAGATGAGCTAGACTTTGGCATGAGAAGGTTGTTTTAGTTGACACGTTCAGCTGGGCAACAGTCGTAGGAGAATCTTGAGTGTTCATGTTGTTCCCAGCTCCGGTTTAAAGAGAGAATTAGATATTATAGATTTTCAAAAATCCTCTTCTCTTTCTTTCTCCTTTTATCCCCCCCAAACCCACTGCCTTATTTGACCCTTCAAGTTCTGCTTTGTGGTCATCAGAGAGCTGGAAGGTGCAGCCTGGAGGATGAAAACAGCGCAGCAGATGGCTTTATTTTAGAGCAAAATTAAAACATGTTATCACTTGAGAGATTTCCTTGACCTTTCAGTTTTGACTTTTCCCTCCTCTCACCCCATGAAGCAACTTGGCAATTTTTAGCTCCTGAAAGTCAGCTATGAAATGAGAGGGACCTCAGCAAATATGCCGTTGCCTGGGAGATGGTTTCCGCAATGGCCACCGTGGCAGTGAAGCCACTCTCTCCCCATCCTTCGCTGTGTGAAGCTCTCATGGGCGCAGCCCTGCTTCCAGCTAGTGCCAGGCCTGGCCGCTCCGCATCACTGGGAGCAACTTCATTCCACGCCTCTGGCCTTCTGTAGCCTTCCCTGGTGCTGGGGTGTGTGAAGTGGCGTCTCTTCCATGCAATTATTTTTCTCTTTTTAGCAAATGATGCTTCTGATTGGTGCCTGCAGAGCAAAATCAGAGCATCTGTTTGGAAGCATTTTAGAAAGCTTTTATTGCCATGTTTTTACTTTATATAAATGATATTGCATAAAAGGTGACTCATTTAAAAGACTGGTACTGTTGAAGAGTACTTATTTTAGAATTTAAAAAGTATGCTGGCCGGGCATGGTGGCTTATGCCTGTAATCCCAGCACTTTGGGAGGCTGAGGCGGGCAGATCACCTGAGGTCAGGAGTTTGAGACCAGCCTGGCCAACTTAGTGAAACCCCATCTCTAATAAAAATACAAAAATTAGCCGAGCGTGGTGGTGGGCATCTGTAATCCCAGCTACTTGGGAGGCTGAGACAGGAGAATCACTTGAACCCAGGAGGCAGAGGTTGTAGTGAGCCAAGATTGCGCCACTGCACTCCAACCTGGGTGACAAGAATGAGACTCTGCCTCAAAAAGATATGAGATAATTTCTAGAGAAACATCTAAAAAAGAATGATAGAGGTAAAAAAAAAAACACACATCAGGATCAGTGAAAATGTAAACTAAGAGTTTAAAAGGAAAAAGCAGAAAGTGTATATACGTATCATGAGATTCTACACTGTTGTGCTCATTGATTTATGAACTTCCCGTGGGCTTCCTGGCAGCCAGTGTGAGAGAGAAATGTGGTTATTTGGATAATTCTGTTGCTAATGATCATAAAATATGTTAATTCTTCAAAAGAAGCTCTAAAAGAAATTTCCACACAAGGTTTGAGATTAAACAATAAAAAAGGATAGAGGAGACAATTGCCAACTACATTCCCGTGACAGCCACTGTCTAGTTTTGGAAGATTTACCTTGAAGGAAAACAAGGGCATAACCCCAAAGTGAGCATAAATTTGACTGGAGAGCCAAGACATAGAGCTTTCTCAGTAGAGCTCTGCCCCCCGGTACTGGAGCTACACTATCCGTACCAGAGCTCCTAGCCGTGTGTGGCTCTTGAGATTTATATTAATTAAAATGAGATTTATATTAATTAAAATGGCCACACCTGTAATGCCAGCAGTTTGGGAGGTCAAGGAGGGCAGATCACGAGGTCAGGAGTTCGAGACCATCCTGGCCAACATGGTGAAACCCCATCTCTATTAAAAATACAAAAATTAGCTAGGTGTGGTGGTGGGCACCTGTAATCCCAGCTACTTGGGAGGCTGAGGCAGGACAATCGCTTGAACCTGGGAGGCGGAGGTTGCAGTGAGCTGAGATCGTGCCACTGCACTCCAGCATGGGAAACAGAGCGAGACCGTCTAAAAGAAAAAGAAAAAGAAAGAAAGAAAACGAAAGATTTGACTGGTCAGTTGCACCACATTTCACATGCTGAGCAGCCACACATGGCTGGTGGCTTCTGTTCTGGACAGCACATTTATCCCGTACACAGAGGTCTGCAGGGCGGCTGCCTTGCAACAAGCCCTCCCAGCGTATGGGAAGGCGAGATGGTGTCTTTGTGCCAAGTCAGAATTTAGAAGGACCACACTAGCCATGAAAGGGCACATCATGCAGGGAGAAGGGCCCCCCCTTTTCAGCTCTTCATGGCTTCCAGCTCCTTGGAGGAAAAGTCTCTGTGTCACTTTCTTACCTCTCATGTGCCTCTGGTCTTTCTTCTTAGGAAAAGCAGCAAGGCTGGGGTCAATGCCTTTGGTGGGCGACAGACTTGAGGTTAATTAGATTTGTTTTCTTTGTATTCATTTTTACATTTGCCTCCTAGTTATGACACAGAATTCTATTTTTCCATTTACCATGGTGATGTACAGTCCCCCTTTAAAATTATTTTAGGTAGAAAGGAAATGAGTCAGCTTAAAGAAAGCTACTAAAACAAACAATCGTGAAAACAGTGCAAAGTTTAGCATGATGCTCTATGAATGATTGATATTTGGGTAACACCGACATAAAGGAACAGATAGACTGTGATTAACAAAAACCAGTATAATAACTAGTAGCCACCTCTCACTGGTTTGTGTGTTGTGTAATAGCTCATTCAACCCTTGTAGCCACTCTGTGGGGTAAGAAACTCTTACCCCATTTTATAGGTGAAGAATCAAAGATACAGGGAAGCATCTCATTTACTGACATGTTTTTAGCCCCCAAAGCAGTCTCTGACAAGGTCCCAGTCTGTAGAGATTCTATGTTACTGAATCAAGCTCTTTAAAAATCCTAAAAGCAGCTGCACATGATGGCATGGGCCTGTAGTCCCAGCAACTCCAGAGGCTGAGGTAGGAAAATTGCTTGAGCCCAGGAGTTTGAGCCTGCAGTGAGCTGTGATCGCATCTGTGAATAGCCCCTGTATTTCAGCCTACACAACACAGTGAGACCCTGTCTCGCCAATAGAAATGTAAAAATTAACCGGGCATGGTGGTGCATACCTATAGTCCCAGCTACTGGGGAGGCTGAGACAGGAGGATTGCCTGAGCCCAGGATTTTGAGATTGCACTGAGCTATTATAATGCCACTGCCACTGTGGCCTGGGTGACAGAGCAGGACCCTTCTCAAAAAAAAAAAAAAAAACTAGAAGCAGCTGGGACAGTCACCCTCATTCCAAAAGGTGGGGCCCAGCTCAACTAAGATCTCACCTGCATGGACAGCCACCTGCACCCCTGAGATGGTGGGCTAAGGGCAGGCCTGCAGCCAAGCCAGGACTTTTCCACAGGACCTCTCTGGGTGCACTGTGGTGCACACATTACCCAGAAAGCCTTCCATATGCAAGAGCCATGCTGAGATGGTTTGCTCTGGAAAGTTGTCAGAGCGGGTGCTGGTTCACAGTGACTTGTCTGGCCGTCCAGTATCTCAGGACATCTCGTTTGAGCAATGTCAGGGTCCCAGAACCTGCCTTGGGGTGGCTGCTTGAAAATATCCTCTGGCCGGGCACGGTAACTCACGCCTGTAATCCCAGCACTTTGGGAAGCCAAGGCGAGT